CAAGACCCTGTGGATGCCCCGTGCGAAGGCAAGACCCTGTGGATGCCTGTGCGGAGGCAAGACCCTATGGATGCCTGTGCGAAGGCAAGACCCTTGTGGATGCCTGTGCGGAGGCAAGACCCTGTGGATGTCCCGTGCGAAGGCAAGACCCTGTGGATGCCTGTGCGAAGGCAAGACCTCTGTGGATGCCTGTGCGAAGGCAAGACCCTTGTCGATGCCTGTGCGAAGGCAAGACCCTTGTCGATGCCTGTGCGGAGGCAAGACCCTGTGAATGCCTGTGCGGAGGCAAGACCAGTGTGGATGCCTGTGCGAAGGCAAGACCTGAGTGGATGCGTATACGAAGGCGAGACTTTGAGTAAGTTTTATTCGTTACTGTGATAAACTAGATTCTCAATAAACGCAAATGGTGGTATGAAGGTCCGATTCGAGGGAAAATGATTTCAAAGAAGCATTGCTTCTAAATTGTGTACGGTGTTACGAGTATGTTGGAAGGTCTCGAATGTTTAGCAAGATTATGTTGAGGAGTGGCATTGTACTAGTAATTGATGAAATTGAGAAGTTACCAATTATAATCAATATGAAGCTTCGGCAATTGAGGATGCTGGCTTAATCATCTCAAAGTTGCTAGTGGAGATGGGAAAAAAAGTTACACATATATTTTTAAATTCACAGGAACATGATCTTATTGAGGAGTAATATTCACATTCAGCTTTATGTTCACCATGTTGTTTGATGAAATATTAATCATAATTCATATTACGAAACGGGCATCTGGTAAATATTGCAACACTTGTAGCTAAAGTGAAATAAAATTTTTTGTAGATGGTAAGCTAAACAAATAGTAAAAAAGCATTTGTAATATGTGAAACAAACTTAAAAGGCTGGGTGAAATTTCGCAGTCTATCTAAGTCGTTACCTGTTAAATATTACAACTGGATGTAATCGACGTCTAGATTTGTAAAAGTAAGAAAAGGTCAAAAATTGGATAAGAAAAGCGTTGTTTGAAATTATGTGATCTCCTGAAGAACTGCGGTAGGAAAGTATATAACTCAAAAAGTAACTGCAAGACGTGGATATTATTTCCTTGTCTGCTAGCTTTTCTCCTACAACGAAGAGCGTGCAAATACTAAGAATATGATATTTTAAATCCGGCGTGTTATAATTTTAGAAATTTGAAAATCTATATAGTATAAAATGGATTCTATCGAACCAGGAATGGACGAAACAATAGAAAGACGTTTCAAAGAACACAACAGAATATAAAATATTATTCGCTCTAGTAATGTAAATATTTTAATTATTCAACGTTTTCATGTTAAGTTGCGGATTTTAACCTTCAATTAGTGCTCAGTAAACAAAGGAGAATATGAATCATATACACTGCCTAGGAAAAATGAAAACAAAAAAGAGCAAGTATTCGATGGGATCATGGAGATTATCCTCTGAAATAAAGTTAAATCACGACTTTGAAATCCTATCGACATTTCTTCTCATTTTGTATATTTGATTTTTCTTTTACATTTATTCAGGCGTTAAATTATTATTTACATCGTTCACAAAGTGCTTACCTAATTCCTTCATTGCATATGTTGGCATATAGTTTTCTAATACTGTTGTTTTAGATCCTCAGAAGACTTGAAAAAATATTGTCTGAAAAATAAATAGATAAAGCATATACGATAAAAAAGAATCATCATTTACTCTACGTTGCTTGCCGCGTTGCGCTGTATAATAAGATAGAGTATTAAACGCTACTTACTTCTTTTTTGCATACCGTTTCATGCTTCATTAAGTTTTTCTTTCTGTTCTATCATATTAACAAGCCGTTTGTGTGCTGGCAATACGCATACTGTTTCATACTTCATTGAGTTTTTCTTTCTGTTCTATCGTATTAACAAATCGTTTTTGTGCTGGCAATACGTCTTCCCACACAGATAATACTATTTATTTCATCTACTATATCAAGTAATGAAATGCTGCATCTCAACCAATAATGTGAGATATACATTTGAATATTCAGATCAGTTTACTAACTTGATGTTGTTGGAACGTCAAAGAGATCGAAAAAAAGAACATCTATTTCAATATTATTTTTCTCTATTCAATATTATTTAAATCAAAGGAACATTCAAATTATATAATACATTTGATTTTTTTCGAAAAAAGGATTTATTCCACTATCAACGGGATTATATCGATTTTTGTAATGACTCAAAAGCTGTAAATAATAAATTCTTCGGATTTCTACAGTCATATCAGCTTTTGTATTTTTTAAACATGCAAAATAAGACGGAATATTGTTACTACTCCGCAGCGTGTAATGGATGAGGAATTCGTAATTTGCCGTTAGTGTTCACGGTAAGATTAGAAAAAATATGACAATATAAATCTTATTTGCGTTGTCTTTCAAAACATATTTTTGAGAGAACATTTCCTAAATGATATACATATGTGACTTTTTTTGTGACTGGCATGTTTTAATAAAACAAACAGCTCTTTCCGTTTTGAAATTGTCACTAAACAACTATCACAAACATATACGATGATACTTAAAATTAAGCACTTATCAGGGCTCCGAATTATAAATATAATAAGCACAAAATGAAAGGAAAAAATGAAATAATTAAATTAAAACAGAGGTAAAGGAACACAATAGAGCAATAAAATCTATTTAAGACAAATATAACAATAGAGCAGTAAGAATAATAGATTAAAATGTAGAGTTAACATAGATTTAATCGTGAGGGTGTGGATATAGGTTTGATCTGATCAAGCACACGCACACTCTGAAATCCATTTATTTTATTATAAATTTATCATTATTTTAATAGATTTTCTTCATAAATCACATATTTCATTTTAAATAATCATTAACAAAATAAAAACATTACGATCGATTTTATTGATTAATTATAAATTTCCAAAAAAATCTGAACTTCATTGAGATTTTCTTTATAAATTTATATATATATGGATGTAAGTAAATTTTGAAAATGATCTATTTATTAGTTTAAAATTTAACAAAAAAATTCCGAATAATAAAAAGTCGAAAGATCATACATTTGCAAAGAATTGTTTAACTATGAAAATAATCTTTCGAACTTTTAATTTGGTTATAATTCTGCAAAAATCTATCTAATTCGTTATGTCATAGACATAGTTACACAGTATTAGAAAATAATTCATTTTTACTGATATCTGTCATTGAAAAAAGTTAATAAGTGGATTAGTTTTTCATCAATTTGTTTATAATATCTATGAAAATTTTCCACTTATCGATATTTTATAAAGTATAGAATTCATTTTAGAATAATAACAATTTATTAAAATTAGCAAAACAACAACAAGAAATATTTAATAATTTATTACGAAAACGTTATGATAAATCTTATTCAAATTCAATCACTTAAATTTAAAATAATCAATATTCAAGAAGAATATGATGCAGATATTAAAGATATTTTAAATGAAATTAAAAAACAAAAACAATCTGCAAAAGAAATTCTTTTAAGTGCACTTGATCAACTTGAATCAGAAATAAATACAGAACAAATAAAAACATCTATTCATTCATCATATTGATTTTTTAGTTGAAAATATAAATCAATACATTCATTTAATATCACTACTTTTGTCAACTGGTGTCGTTAGTATTATCACTATGATTATTACTAGTTTTGTTATATTGGGACTTGGAGCTGTTTTTAGTATTATGGAAAGTGAATATCTTTTTAGAGAAATATTAGAAGAATGAGATTCAAAATTATTAAACGATATTAAAAAAATCAACAAATAGAAAAACTTCATGAATAGTTTCAAAATTTTGAAAAAAAATTATTTTATTGTAACAAAAATTGACAGACATCAATTAATTAAATCTACTTTTGAAAATAATCTTATTTTAATAATATCAAGTTCATCAGGAGAAGAAATTCGTTCTCAAATAGAATTTTATTTTCATATAAAGATATTATTATTTATTGTCAAGCAGTTCAATATCATAAAGCATGGGCAAAACAATATAAAAAAATTTTACTTTTTATTAAATCATTTGATGAAGTCATTCAAAAAATAAAACAGAAAATAGAGAAATTAATTTTTTAAATTATGGATTTTCATTTGCAGATATAACATTAAAATTAGAATCATATAATTATTATGTTAAATATTAATTATCACAAAGATATTATGATACAATTAAATACATCACTAAAATGTGCTGAAAATTTTGTTGATGCTTTGAAAACTTCATCACCTGAAGAAAATATAATACTTCTATATTAAAGTAGTAAACAATATTCTTAGTTTATTAAATGAAGAATTAATAAAATTAATTGGAAATTATATAGATGCATTAGGATATTCATTAACATCATATTCAAATAAATCACAAAGAATCGCAAAAAAATAAAATATCGAATTATATCGAGGTTTATGTTTGAAATATAAAAATAATTTTCAAGAATTTCAAAAGAAAATTTCAAGTCAATGATATTATTATTTTTCCAGCATTTTCATCAAGTAATCTAAATAAGACTTGTGCAGAGAGCTTTGCTAGTGATAAAGGCGTTCTTTTAAATACTACTGCAGATTGTACACAAATAAATATACCAAAAAAATATTTGAGTTATCAACTTTCAAAAGCGAAAATGAAGTCTTATTAAATTATTTTAATATGTTAACCATCAAAAAAATTACAAATATCAATGATAGTTTTATGTCTTATGAATGCACTTAACAACTACGATGATTAAAATAAATACCTATCTTTATTATAACAATTATCATTCAGTTTCATATTTTTTTTTCTTGGCTAAAGAGAAAATTTTAGTATGATATTTTGTTGTTGTTTTTATTCTATGAAATAAAGATTCTTCATTTTTCTTTATTGAGTTTTAATTATTCTTAGTATCACTATATATATAAATCTACACTATGTTCAAATTTGAGCTTTATGTTTATTATCATTACAAACATATCAGTATTACCAAACATTGAAATATTTTGTAACATTTGATTGTGAGCTAATATACAAATTAGTATTCGAAAAGTGAAATACAAATTGAAATTTTTCCAAATAAATAATCAAAAGAAAATGTATTAACGACTATGAATGTGCTTTTCATCTTGCTCTCTTGTTGAGTTTTTTCCATTGTTGTCGGTTATGTTTTTCTTTAACTATATCTTTATTATGTAGTAGAAAAGAGGTAGTTGTAATGAATGTGTAATAAAACAAATACAATTTTTCCAAGTCGTTTTTCTTCCAATTATAGTTCAAAATTGCTTATTATTTTAATAACACTTATATATCTGTAACGATCACAGATAGAAATCTTAGATTCTAGTATAATTTAGATTCAGACATATATTAGGGTGTGGGTGGGTTGGTATAAATGTGGGTGAGAATGTGGACGTTATTGTCTTCTTATATCCATACCCATCCATCCACACCCACACTCACCCGTCTATACCCAAATCATCGGTAAATAGTGGATGTTTATTTGTTAGCTTTGACACAATCAAACAAAAATATGAAATATGATCAAAATCAAAATTCGTTTTAATCATAGTCATCCTCAAGTTTCTTTCTGAAAAACAACTAGCGAAGCCATAGGATAATCGCCATTTGTTTATTTACTGTACTCGATTTATACAATGAAAAAGTAAAGTAAATGTGTTATCTCTATTCCAGTGTTATCAATTTCTTTTTTACATTTTTTACTTTTTATTTCCGATTAAGATGAAATTAACAATAATCAAGCCAAAAGAAACCGTTTTTATAACGCTACTTTAAAATAACCTCCATTATCAATGAAACAATGTTTTGCTCATAACTACTACGTGTTTTGCTTATTTTTTTTCAAACATATTCTTGACTATTCTTTTCGTTCTGTTCGCTCGTTAGATGTATTTTTGTATCATATAATAACGATTCTACCTATATGAATATGGCTATGTGCATTCAAGCATAACTTTTCATTCATTTTATGCACATACACGTTGTGAAATAACGCAAATATAGTTACTGATCGGTATACAAGCGTCTTATACGAAGAAAAAGTTTGGGCGACAAGTATCTGTGGACAAAATTTATTATATCGCAATATAATGAGGACTTTGATAAGCATTCATTGTCAGTCCAAAATAAATTAAAAATATCTTGGTAAAAAACATTCAATATTTGTTTTAAATTGCTCGTTTATATTCAAAACATGGGTGAGTACTAACTCTCATACTTTCCTCTTTTTTTATAGTATATGTGATCGACAGTTTTCTATCACATCAGTTTGTAGAGCTCGTTAAGGATGTCAATATACATAGATTCTCTGATGGTTAAACTCATACTTTCACCAAATACAGAGGGAGAGATTAATTTTTAGTGTAAATACCGTCACAATCTTGTTATTTTTCTCCAGACAGAACACATTTTAAAAATTGGCGACAAGGTATTCGTAGATTCTCGTTTATAAAACTTCAAATAAATTCGTTGAAAAATACGAAAGCTCCGATAAATTCTTGAAAGTTGCTTTTGCATTCTTGAAGAAGTTATTAAAGTTTGTTAGGTCTTTTGCGGAGTCACGAAACTAACTAACGAGTGCTCAAAAATTTGCATCAATTAGTTAAATATTTATACAGTATAGTTTCTAACAATCTTCCATAATCTCTGTCTATGATCACCCACTTCCAGCTTACCAATGCTTGTCTCAAGTTAAAATCAGATTCTTTCTCTATTTGTTGTGGGAAATTTTCCTCGATAGATTTGAATTTCGGGTATTGTTTTCGGCTAGGCAATCGGCGACAAATCCGTTCATGTGTTTTGACCATGTTTTAAAGAGCCGACCGCTAGTGGCTGATCAGAAACTAGTCTGAAGTGGTTAGTAAGTGATGAGTAATGACGATCATTAAGAGAATTTTGCTATGATATTTTGATTGTCAATGATTGACTCTGTGTATCGAACAAAGTAGAATTAGTCATTCATTTATCCGAGCTTCTCTTGAACCGTCTCTTGTATTAGAAGCCCCAAAGATTTTTATTGTGTCTGGTAAACTTTGCTGAAGACATTCAACCCAAAGGGACTTTTAATATGAAAGAGGCTTGAATTGCAGGACTGGATTTAGGATTATTTTGGCTGGAGAAAATATCTTTTATATAAATATTAGTACTCTATAAACATTATTACATGAGATTTCAACTCATGAAGTTCCGGTTGAAAGGAGGGCTTGACGTTTTTGTGCTTGGGTTGTCGCTTAGTACAAAACTGTTTCGAGATATGTCTTAGTTTTTTACATATTTTCAATGAAATTACTTAAGACTGGTGGTCATACAACGCAAACGGCTTGAGAATCATTGGATTCTTCAACGGGAAATGAGTTAAGTAAAATATATATCGTTTCTATATTATAAGTTTAACTCTGACAGATCGAAACCTCAGGTCGACTAAATATGACTTGGAATGTTTTCGTCCATATCTAATATCCTCAGTTTACATAAATGACTCAAGCAAGAATGATTTCAACTAATCAATCAATTCCGAGCTTGAACTTTGCCCACTGGATAAGTCCTAGTAAGGTACAAAAACTGCAACATGATGAGTGTTCCCAGACTGTTCACTAGAATTTGAGTCTTTGTTATGGTACAGACTTAGATCCCACCGCTTGAAACTCTTGACTAAACGAGCATAAATTGCTAAAAACCGATCAGATTCATAATCTGCTGGAGAAAACTGAATGATAACTAAAACTTTGTACATAAAGAAACCCAAAAGAAAGTGAAACTCGAGTATCTTCCACGAGATATACGTGATATTTAAGACTGTTTCATCTTCAAAAGAAAACTTCCTGTTGTGTTGAAGTTTTCAACGCATTCTATCTATATATAAGTCTCTCTTTGTCAGAAATACATTTGGCAATAATTCCAATTCAATTGTATTGATATATACCATATCACAAGTTCAACTGTAGACACTAAACACATATCAGATAGTAAGGTAAATGTTAAAATTTCTAAACTACTACTGTGGCTGTCCACAATTCTGAAACAAGTCATCGGTCATAATATATATATGACTGATTGTTTATTGAGTATTTCGAAAGTTAATGATAACTTCGTAGTGTTCTTCTAATTCAGTTTCCTATTACAGCCTATTCTATTATCAATCTTCCTTTCTGGAGTTCAAAACTCTTTAAAAAATTCAATCTTTTTATATCACTATTGCGGAATGAGAACAAACAAGTTGAAACGTTACAGTTGCTGTATATCAAAACCGTGACTTACATCTTCCCATATGATAAGAGAGACTCTTGTAAACAGTACAATGTATTGAATACATGTCGTAAAAATATTGTCCTATCTCTTTCAGCACAGAGACCACTTGGTCGTTATACTACAGACAATTTGGCACTTAACTGCACTTGAATCTTCATTAATTGTACTTTCATTAACAAGCCATGACAATCATCTGCATACATGAGTTTTCATTATTGCCGAGTAATAAACGACCGAGCACCGCAAAACTGAGCAACGCACTTCAATCTATCAACGTAATCACAATCAACATATCAGCACTTACGTCGTCATGCATTTTCTTCCCACGTATCTCAATATCAAAAGAAAACAGCTAAACAACAACAAACGACCCAACAACAGCCATCAACTTCACTGGGTACGCCATCGTACACGACAGCTTCAGACAAGTTGAAGTACAGTCTACTTTTCTTAGTTCTCTATCCACTAAGACTTTTCCTTTTCTCTTTCTAATTATTTTTATCGAAAAGCGGTTTCCTTAATGCGAATCTAAAACGGTGAACTCCCAGGAGACTTAAAACAGTTCAGAAGATACTTTTCTCACACGTTATATTCTGTTTTCTACTATCTTTTCCTGAACTTGTTTTTATAGAATTAATTTTATTCAACGCAGTTCTAAAACGAAGAACTGCCAGGATTTTTGGTTAAGATCATTACACGCTTTGCTTTTGTTTTTTTTCTGTTGATAGAATTAAGTATATTCAATGCGGTTCCAAAATGAGGAACTGCCAGGATTTTTGGTTAAGTTTAATGCATGTTTCTTTTGTGCATTTGTGTTTGTAGAATTAAGTGTATTCAATGCGGTTCTAAAATGAGGACCTGCCAGGATTTTTGATTAAGTTTAATGCATGTTTTTGTTTTGTTTTTATGCTTTGTGTTTATAGTATTTAGTATATTCAATGCGGTTCCAAAATGAGGAACTGCCAGGATTTTTGGTTAAG